TATGTATGTATGTGTGTGTGTATGTATGTATGTATGTATGTATGTATGTATGTATGTGTGTGTGTATGTATGTATGTATGTATGTATGTATGTATGTATGTATGTATGTGTGTATGTATGTATGTATGTATGTATGTATGTATGTATGTATGTATGTATGTATGTATGTAACTTTTAGAACAATGTATATATATTTACAATTCTATATATTGGTTAAATATATAAATAACTATGTAATGTCTATCCCGTGTTTTTCTGGATAGATACCAAACATTGTTATACATAACGTACCAACGTACTAACAACTAACACCTGTTTTGCTAACATAGTTGAGTTTGTTAATTTACTAACAACTAACATCTAACATACCTCTCATAGATCATTTAGGGAAAATTTTTATTATTTGCTGAAAATTTGTGTGAACATGGAACATTTCTGTTTAGGTGGCCATACTAGATGAATTTCATATAAATTCTATTATGGTCATCCTGCTTTCTTTTAATTTTCAATTTTGAGAAGCAAATAAATAATTTAGTTTCGTTTCGTTTCGTATGTATATATGTATGTATGTGTGTATGTATGCATGTATGTTTGTATGTATGTATGTGTGTATGTATGCATGTATGTATATTATGTTTGTATGTATGTATGTATATGTGTGTGTATGTATGTATGTATGTATGTTGTACATTTGCTTTTTCCATCCCATTTCTCCGTAGATATGATTTGTTGGCTCGAAGAAATCAATGTTTGTCCTCTATACAAAATTATCTAAACAAATGTATTTTGTATGTTTGCATGTGTTTGTCTGTATGTGTGTGTGTATGTATGTATGTGTTTGTATGTATGTGTGTATGTATTTATGTGTTCATGTATGTGTGAATGTATGTGTATTGATTCTCTCAATGCAGTGACTTACATACCGAACTACGATTGTAAAGGAAAAGAGATCATCATCACTTCTTCTTCCTCCTCCTCATCTTCATCATCACCAACAACGTCATCATCATCATCATCGTCATCATTATCATCATCGACAAGTGGTTACCTATCGAATTATATAACGGGCGAGACCCAGCAAGGTTCAGACTCGTGCCCCTGGGTCATAAGAGGTCAACCGGGCTCAAAGTTCAAGTTCACCTTGATGGATTACGCCGTGATTGATGGCGGTCCTGTAAAAAGTGGCGTGTGTAGTATTTACGGAAAGGTTAGGAGGTCGTCGTAGTCGTCGTTGTGGTTGCTACAGCAGCTGCTTGTTTTATTACTTATTCAACTGTCGAACATGCGATTCACAAGAGCAATCACTCCATTATCCAAATTTGTTCACTTCATCTTTCAGTTGTCCATTAATTCATTTCTCTCTTCATTCCGTTATACTTTCATTCGTTTGTTTTTTTTTATCCATCCATCCATCAGCCGATTCATTTGTTCATTAGTCCGTCCATCCATCATGCAGATAAATGAGACTCTAATATGTGGTGGAGAGCACAGAAGTCACGTGATTTTTACGTCAATTGATGACGTCGTCAGAGTTGAAATTTCCAATCCTCGTCCCGTTAAAGAACCCCCTTATTTCCTTTTCAAATATGAAAGTTCGTGACGTCATTGTGATCACGTGTGTGTGTCTGTTTGTGTTTGTGTACGTGTGTGTGTGTGTGTGTGTGTGTGTGTGTGTGTGTGTGTGTGTGTGTGTGTGTGTGTGTGTGTGTGTGTGTGTGTGTTTGCACTTTTGTTTCATAATCTGTCAAAACTGTTTTTTATTTTGTCGTTCAGCCCACCGTTGTTCACTCCATCAATCATTTCATTCATCCAAACTTAGCCCAGTATTTAATCCATCTCAATTAATTCATCCAATCACATGTCAGTATTCTCAACCCATACCATCTCAATCATCCAATCACATTGCAGTATTCAATCCACATCCTTAAAACCATCCAATCATATTACAGTATTCAAACCACATCTTTTAAATCATCCAATCACATTACAATATTCAAGCCCCATCCTTTAAATCATCTAATCACATTTCAGTATTTCACTGCCCAGACATGCTAGCCCCATCTGGTTCAGTTTTCTTGGAGAAGCAACCGGACAAACTAGTTTTATTTTGTCGCCATGATAGTAACAACGACAACAATCACCACAATAATTATCATAATAATAAAAATAATTATGACGTCAACAACTATAATAACGATTTCATTATTAATCGCGGATCGGCTGGTAGAAATGTATTAAACGGTAGTCTAAAAATCGTCAGCAGCAATAGCAATGACGCCGATGATGACGTCATTGGCGAATATAAAAATAAGAATAAGAATAACAATTTGTGGACGTTGACTTGTGTCGGTAGCAAATGGATCGGTAAAGTACCGAACTGTACACATCAAGATGACGTAGGAGGGATGGGCGGTTCCTGGGGTCTTACCGGTCAAATATTTGGATCGAGTGGTCAAGTTTCTAGAAGTTGGTTTCGATTTTTACACTCAGAAATACAAAACACCCTCACAGGCACATACACACCAATCCTAACACCCCAATAATCCACCATAAAATACACTGGCTACAGATATAATCGCTTTCTTCATCGCCGTCATAGCGTTGTTAGTGGCTGTCGTCATCGTCGTCATCGGGGTCTTTTCAATTGCTAGGTACTCTGTATTGTGTATTCTTTATACACTCGGGTATTTGTGTGTGTATTTTGTATACATTGTATATTTTGTAGTAGTGTGTATTTTGGGTGTTTATGTCATATTCATCTTCATATTCATCTTTATATATATATATATAATTAAAAATTTTAATTATATATATATAATTAAAAATTAAAAATCAACAATTAAAAAGCGCTGTATATAAATTTCCGTAATAATAATAATAATAAAAATAATATATATATATATATATTTAAGTACATACGTATGTGTACACATTTGTATTGTGATTAGCGTACATTTGTGTATAATTGTATTCGTATTAATGAGGTATTTTGGGTATTTGGTATTTCGAGCAGTTGGAGTAGAACGCTGTACGACGCCATTTAATCAAATGCAAATTAGGAAGTATGTATGCATTGATGCTGTGATGGATGGATGGAAAATTGCGTAGATGGATGAATGAAAAGATGGACCGACAGACGAGGGGGACGAATGGATGAAAAGATGGTTTGACAAACGGACAGATGGATGAATAAAAATTGGGTTGAATGAAAAATCAGATAAAGGATGAGGGGATGAAAGTCTAAGAAAATAATTAAGCGAACAAATTCATATTAAGCATACTTACTGTTTAGCAAACAATGTAAACACACATACAAACACACACACATACAAACATACGCACATGCAAACACACATACAAACACACATACAAACGCACATACATACGCACATACAAACACACATACATACACACAATTACATACAAACGAACGAACGAACGAACAAACAAACGAACAAACAAACAAACAAACCCGATTATAAATGCATGCTGGGAGACCGGCGCTGTCATCACAACGCTAAATCACGAACGCAACTTGTCAATATGAAGATAACAAAAATAAATGCGTATAGCTGTAAATGTGCCTTCGTACGCCTCTTTGTATCTGTCTACCACCTTGCTACAAAAGTACGTATGTACGCTACGGACGTGTTTATTAGGTGTGTTTCTATCTGTATTTGTATCTAAATGAACCAGACAAACATACATGAAGGAGACAAAGTAGTGTTACAAAAACATTCGACACCTATGGCGATAAGTTATAGCATTGAATGTGACGTCAACTAGTAGTAAACGTCATCCATCCCATCGTCACTGACGTTCGCAGGTCACGGAAAAAATCGCGAGAAGAGCGCCGGCGACGAGACGTTCGCGAAAAAGTTCTCGGTGTGACGTCATCATCGTCAAGCGCCATCTTGGATTCACTTGTAGTTCAAGGTCAACTGAACAGCAACAGCATGGCCAACAGCAGCATCCAACATCTCCAGCAACTGCCACCTCCTCCATATCACGAACGCAATACCATGACGAACGCACAGCGCGAGAAGGATTATCGGTATCACGCGCTCAGCAAACTCGTTTCGGAGGCTGATTTTGATTCGGCGAAAGTTTCAAATCTGATGCCACCGAAAAAAAGTCACATCGCCATGAAAGTTGCCGGAAGTTACGTCATGCCACCTCCGCCGTCTTCTTCGTCGTCTTCTCACGTTTCCTGTTCCTCTCATCCACTTCCGCCTGCTAGTGCAATTCAGAAAAATATTCTCAACAACATCAACAACAACAACATCAACAACAACAACATCAACAACAGCAACATCAACAACAGCAGCAATCTTACAGATGAGCTATCAAACGTGGATGCAAGTGATGGTGGTGGCTCCTTGCTGGTTCTCAACTTCAACAGACCCTTACAACAACTATTTCCGCAACAGCAACAACAACTTTTCCAACAACAACAATTTCAGCAACAATATCCAACAAAACAGTTGTATCAACATTCCCAATTCTTACCTCTGACGCAGCAGCAGCAGCAGCCACAAGAGCAGCAACAGCAGCCGCTGCAACAACAGTACGACGAACATATATACGAAAGTCCAAAATTTTTACACAAATCTTACATGGACGTACACTCAACTAGCAACGAATGAACTTTGAACTTTTGACCTCTGAACTCCGCACTCGTCATAATAACAATAACAACAACAACAATAATAATAATAATCTTCGTTAATTACGTAATAACGACAATAATAATAATGACAATATGAAATTTTCATTATCTTTATTTTTTCAAGGTGGGCCATTCCGTTTGGAACATTACTCTCGTGAATATCTTATACATGTATGTGTGTATGTACGTGTGTTTATCTGTGTGTGTGTGTTTGTGCGTGCGTGTGTGTGTGTGTGAGAGAGAGAGAGAGAGAGAGAAAAGAGTAAGTATTGAGAAATTGACAAGGCTTCTAGCGTTTAACAAAATCTTTTTTTTTATTGAAAGTTAAATAAATTTGTAATGAGTTTTTTTTTTTATTATTAAAAAGTGAAATTAAATTTAAATTTTTTTAAAATGACGTCGTCATTGAATATCTTTTTAAACTGACAATTACGTCACAAAAAAATAACCAAAAAAAAAACAAAATAGAAAATGGTATATCAAAATAATTTTTATTGAATAAAAAAATCACTGTATATATGTATGTATTCATGTGTAATGTGTGAGTTTTCGGTTTGTACGTGTTTGTTTGTATGTATGTGTGTGTATGTGTGTGTAGGTGTGTATGGTATTAATTAATATTGCAGAAACAACCTTTATCACTAGGAGACAACATCGATCGAGAAAAGATGAAGGACTGAACGAGAGCACGAATGAATGAATGAACAAACGAATGAATGAATGCATAAATGAATGAACGAACAAATGAATGAATGAATGTTAGAATGAACGAATGAACAAATGAAAAATTCACATCTTCTTTCATCAGAAATTCTTAAACTTCACCTATTGAAAATTCACGCTACGTAATTATTACGATAAATTATTATAAGATTTAAAAATACATGACGTAATATAATTACGACGTAATATAATTATGACGTAATATAATTACGACGTAATATAACTACGACGTAATATAATTATGACGTAATATAATTATACCTAGAACACGACACGCACACGCACACATAATCACAAACGCGCAAAAAAGCATCTCTGACTCTTTTTAATCTACTGAAAAAAAAATGAAATTTTTCATCTTCTTCTTAAACATAGTTACGGAATGATTTTGTTTGTTTATTATTATTGATATTATTATTATTGATGGTGGTTGTAGTAGTAGTAATGGCATATGTGTGTTTGAGTATATATATGCGTGTGTGTGTGAGTATATAAATGAGTGTGTGTGTGTGTGTGTGTGCGTGTGTGTAATTCTAATTTATCAAAAACCTAAATATCACCAATTTAACAATGGATCAAAATAATAATTTATTATTATTATCATTATTATAATTAAATCTGTAAGAAAATAATTTTTTATAATTTAAAAAGACACTAAACATGATATGGGCGAGGGTAACGTAGGAACGAAAAAACGAATGAATGAATGATTGAGAAAAGGAAAAAACAAAAAAATTATGAACGGATGAATGAACGAATAATAGATAATAATAATAACTTTTCTAATTCATAATTCATTTTATTACAATTTGTAATATGCCAACAAGCTTTGATATATTGATCCCGCTATATTCAAAACAAATTTATGAAAATTTCTCTAAAATGTTTAAATACGCTGCTGATACACTCACTCATTCATTGATATTCATTCAACCATTCATTCATTTAGTCGTTCAGTCATTCAATCATTCATCCATTCATTAATTCATCATTCACACAACGTATACATATATATATATATATATATATTGCAGTGTAATAGTTCAATATATATATATTTTATTTGAAAATACTAAAAATTATTTCCATATGATGGTGACAAAATGAGTCCAGTGAGTAAAAAAGTAAAAAAAATCATTCATTCCGTTGGTTCTTCTATTTAACAATTCATTCAACTCACTCATTCACTCACTCACTCATTCATTCACTCATTCATTCATTCACTCACTATATAACTCTGACAATACACAGCAGGCATGTATATAAATATACGTACGGAATAATGAACTCTGAAAGAAGTTTTTTACAATAAATAAATCTTAAAAAATACTACAAAAAGTAAATACAAATACCACAATAAAATAAGCATCTACAATATTTCTCATTCCTCTTCTACAAAGATATATATAATTTTTTGAAGCAACTTTTGAAAAAGAAAATAATTTAATTCATAAAAATAATTAATATGCAACGAAGATAAACAGAAAATGTTGTTGTTGTAGTTGCTGTTGTTGTTGTTGTTGTTGTTATAACAACTACCACAATACAACAATAATATTAACGTTGATGCGTGTTATCAGGTATTTTCTTTAAGTCTCGGCCATAAAAACTTCTTAACAATTTGAAAGGAGTCATTCATATTGATTGATTCATTCATGCATTCATTCACTGATTCGTTCATTTTTTCGTGCATTCATCCATGCATGCATTCATCATTTCATCCAAACATTCATTCATTCATTCATTCATTCATCAATTCATTCATTCATTCATTCATTCATTCATTCATTCATTCATTCATTCATTCATTCATTCATCAATTCATTCATTCATTTCTTCATCTCTAACTCGCAACAGCGGATAATAAAATGTGGAAATATTTATGATGAAATTCTTTACTAAATGATATATAAAAATCGTCTGCCTCCCTCTTTTTTTTTCACTCTCTCTTTCTTTCTCTCTCTCTCTCTCTCTCTCTCTCTCTCTCTCTATATATATATATATATATATATATATATATATATATATATATATATATATATATATATATATATATATGTATATATGTACATACTATATGTATATATATATTAGGTATAATGCAATATAATACAATACAATACACAATACAAAATCCTAAGGAGGATACAACAACAACAACAACAACAACAACAACAACAACAACAACAACAACAATAATAATAATAATAATAACTATTATTATTATTATTATACTAATAATAATAATTATTAATAATAACTATTATTATTATTATTGGTAAAAAAGTTATCTTAAATCTTTATAGGAATGAATTTATGATTGACAGATTGATTGGTTGGTTGATTGATTGCTTGATTGATTGCTTGATTGGTTGATGCATTGATTGATATATTTATTGATTGATCAATTGACTGTTGATTAGTTGGATGTCATGGCTTATTGAAATTGTCTTTTGTACATATTGTAGTTTTATCCTAATTCGGTATTGTTGTAATTGTAGTTGATGACGACGATGACGATGGGGATGACAAAAATGATGATGATGATGATGGTGACGATGATGATGGTGACGAAGATGATGCTGAAGATGATGATGACGATGATCACGGTGTGCCTCGACCAGAAAATGGATGAAGATGTATCTCTCTTAGGCTATAGGCATCTGTAAAAATTATTATTATCATTATTACTTTTATTATTATTATTATTTATTATTATCATCATCATCGTTATCATCGTCACCATCATAGTCATTATCATTTTCATCATTGTCTAACATCATATGGCAAATTGACGTCTTCGAAGTTTAAAATGTTGCTGTTGTTGTTATTGTTGTTGTTGTGGTTATATGCAGTTTTTTTGATAACGATATCATCTTTTATCGGCTTGAACATGCATTGTTCGTGTATTAAAAACTCGTTATTAGTGTTATTGCTGTTATTAGTATTATTATTATTATTATTATTGTGGTTGTTGTTGTTAATAATGTTATTGTTGTTATTTTTATTAACGTTATTGTTGTTAGTAGTTGCGTTGACGTTGTTGTTATAATTAATGTGTTGTTGTTGTAGTTGTTTTTGTTGTGGCTTCTTCCTCTGTGGAGGTTTGTATTGTTGTTTGTTGTTGTTGTTGTTGGGGTCGTTAGATCGACCGTAACTACTATCAGTACTGCTCGGACTTGGCGGTTGGTGATGATGATGATGGTGGTGATGGTGGGCCGATTTGGAAGTGCGAGATTTCAGCTTCTTCGTTTCTGTGTGTATGTGTGCGTGCGTGTGTGTGTGTGTGTGGTTGATTGATTGATTGAACGATTAAATTGATGTATGGATGAACAAATCAATGAATGAATAAATGAGTAAGTGAGTGAATGCATGAATGAATGAATGAGTGAATGAATGAATGAACGAACGAACGAACGAACGAACGAACGAACGAACGAATGAATGAATGAAGTACCTTTGCTAACGACAGGGTTAGAGCACGCATCGTTAACTGAAAGTTGGGCGATTTTCGCCATGTTTGCCTTAAACGATTCTTTGGTTTTATGATCATTATCAAAATCATCACCGTCCTGATCATCGTCATCATCATCATCATCATGATCAGCGTCGTCATCTTCGTCGTCGTTGTTGATGTTGTTGTTGTTGTTTTGAGGAAAGTGATTGTCGATGTAATCTATCGTCATCCATTCTGCTCATGAATTTTTGATGGGTGGTGAGTAATGAATGGACGAATGAATGAATGAATGAATAAATGAATGAATAAATGAATGGATAAATGAATGAATGAACAAATGATTAATTGAATGGATAGACTGATGAATACAAACCTCTCGCGTTCTTATTAGCAGGTTTATTTTTAATCAAAACGTCGTAAGGTAGGGCGGGGCCAGTCTGATCACGTGATTTAGCGTATTGACCTCCGGGGTAAAGGTCAAAGTTTAAAGTTTTGTGGTCAGTTAGAGGTAGGGTGGGTCGACGTCTTTGATGGAAGTGGGCCGAAAATTGCTGATCGTTGAAACTTTGGATGAGGTGATCGCTTTCCAGGCTGCTATTTAGGTTTCTGCGTATGTTTGTATGTATGTGTGCACGTGTGTATACGTGTATGTGTATGTTTGTGTGTATGTGTGTACGTGTGTGTATGCGTATGTGTATGTATGTTTGTCTGTGTGTGTTTGTATGTAATTAAGTTATCATCAGTGTCAGCCAACCGACCCATTGCACGGGCTGTCGTAGGAACTGCTGTGAGTTTTGCTGTACGGATGATGCTGTGATGGTGAAGACGGTGGCGAACTTCTGACGTCACGCGACATTCCAAGGTCACGTGTCTTTTCAAGATCACGTGTGCTCGCAAGGTCACATGTCCTGTCAAGGTCGTCTCCGTAATTGAGGCCACTGAGGCTAGGGTACCAGCCGTTGTGGGCGTCTAAACACGGCGGATGCTGGATGTAAACACTGACGTCATCGATTACGTCATTGTTGTCGTGGGTGTTGTTATATGACGTTTGAATGTTGTTGTTCTTGAATTTGCTGTTGTTGTTGTTGTTGTTGTTGTAGATGTTAAATGTCGTTGTTGATGTCGTTGATGAAATTAAATTGCTGTTGTTGAAGTTCTGGCGATAGAGCGGTGGTGGCAGAGGTTCAAGGGAGGAATAACAATTGTTGTTGTTGTTGTTGCTGTTGTTGTTGTTTGCAATTGAAGATGTTGTTGTTGATGAACTGTTTCGCTGTTGCGTGGTCTTGTTGCTAACCCGGCTTACGTGACCATCTTGAAAAATTAGAAAAACAAACATAAAAAAATACAAATAAAAAACACAAAAAATGCATTGCAAAACATCAAAATACAACAAATACAACAAAAAATACAAAAAAACATCAGGTGCACTCAAACAAAACTGCGAACAACAAATCACAAAAACACACCAACCTAGCATAACATTATTCACTGTGCCCGTGCCGGTAGACGGAACTTTAATGTTATTTCTGCTACTTCTTATGTTACTACAACTGCTACTACCAAAGTTATTGTTGTTGTTGTTGTTGTTGCTGTTGTTTGTGCTGTTTAGCTGTTTTTGTATCATGTAGGCTGCCGGATTGGGAATTAGAGTATTTCCGTTCGAAGATTTGTTGTTGGTGTTGTTGTTGGTGTTGTTGTTGGTGTTGTTGTTGTTGTTGCTGTTGTTGTTTATGATCGTTGTCATGGTTAAGCTAGAAGCAGCTGTTGCTAAAAAGCAAACATAATCATTGTTAGCAATGATATAGTATTAATTATTCGTTTTTTAAACAATTTTCGGAAAAATTAACAAGGTATAATTATAATTATACAAACAACAACAGCATCGTACCTGGATTTGTTGTGTGGAAAAGATGTTGTTGTTGTTGTTGGTCTGCTTGCGACAACAATATGCCAGAAGAGTTGAAACTGCCGTCGGCAAATGTTGAAGAATCCAGGTGTTGTTGTTGTTGTTGTTGTTGATGTTGTTGATGGTCTTGTACGGATTCCACTTTTGAAAAAAAAAAATTGAAAAAATATACGATCATGAGGTCAGTCATCTTTGCCTGAAGCGTTATCATGCTAGTCAACATTGACAAAATTATCATCATTATTGTCATCACTAACATCATCATCACAATGAGAAACAACAACAACGTCAACAATCACAGGCAACAACAGCAATAGCAACAACATTT